ACAACAACATCAAGAGAAATATTATCCCTACCATATTTAATTGCAGATTTAACATCACTGTAGGAATCAGGAATAGCATTCAAAAGAGCAATAGGGGTGTAGTCATCAATATGTTTATCACCGGTTAATTTAATATCAGAAATCAGTTTGGTGAAAACATCTAGATTTTCTTCTATGTCCTTAGACATATCCAATCTAAACTTGAAAAATTTTTCAAGTAAGAAAATCTTGTTTGGCAAAGAAGTTTCAGTATAAAGTTCATCAAGTTTATTCCAAAGATCTTTAGCACATTCCAAAATACCAACTTTTCTGATCACACAATCAGTTAAGTTTAAGTAAATTGTGGAACAAGCAATTTCATTCATTTCAACTCTTTTTTCCTTAGCGTCTGTTTCTAGATATGAATTACTAACAGCCCTATAAACTTTTTGATGAACAAGAACACACTTCAATTTTTGTTTCCAAATACTAAAATCAGTTTTTCCATTAAAAGGAGTCAAAGCATACTAATTCATAGTAGGCATATCCACACAGGAGAAAAATAATCAAAAAATCACCACAAAGGAGAAAAAACCCACAAAAGAGAATAAAAACTGGAAAAATCAGCAACACAGAGGCACGTAGAATATGGCCTAAATTTTCCAAATTTGGCTCACGTGTGTGAAGCAATCGCACGAACAACTCAAGATTATTATGTTAGCAAAAATTGCTTACTCAATCCCGTTGTTCTTTCACACGAGCACAAACTACTGGAATTAGGCAATCGGAAATAATGCAGCGGAATTAAACAACCCTAAAAAATGCTACGAAAGCAAAGGGATAAAGAGTTGTGTACCTGGGCGAATCTAATGCCTAGATTTGACTTACCTACTCCACGGAGGAATTTTTGGCAGCAATTCGGTTCTGTCAGCGAGGGTCGAACCCTGCTCCTAGACGTTGGAGCTTCTGATTCCTTCAACGGAGTTCTACCTTCAATCGCACGAAGCAATTGGTGCGAGTCCGGCTCTGCCACACGTCCCTGCCGCTGAGGTTCTGCGCTCGCCGGAGCACGTCAGGGTCTGCTTCGTGATGCTCTCTCGCGGGTCGATGGTCGCCTGGTGTTTTCCGTCGCAGGACGCTGGCGATTATTGCACGAAGATCGATCCCAGTTCCCAAGTCAGAGTACGCTTCGTTCTTGACCCACAAGAATAATAGAGGACTCTTTTTTTTTATTTGATGTATTGATGACGCAAGGGAAACCAACTCCAATTTGGATTTTGAAACTTTGACCGAAAGAAAAAAAAAGGGAGAGGAAAAACAACCCTCTGCCAATGAACAGTAAATCCAAAAAAGAAAGAACAGAGTACCCCACGAAAATAAATAAATACTGAGCACAAACCAGGCTCCGATACCACTGTTATGTGTATTTATTTATTCCGATTAGGCTCAGGTCACCCGTAAAATTCGGTCCGTAGTTGTGCACTACAAGGGTACCAAAAGGAGCAACACCCCAACCCAACCTCGCCACACTCCACTCACAAAGAAACGGAGAAGAACTGAGATCAACTCACAAAGGAAGAAATAAACCCACACGGAAGTCTCACAAAGAGAGAAAGGAGTTTTGCACGGTATAGAAACACAAAGGGGAAGCCTCAATTTATAGTAGAGATTTAGGAGCTAATTAAGGTAAGCTTAATTAGGTTAGGAATAAAGAGATGGGCTAAGAGAAATGGGCTGCTGGGTTGGGTGTCAAATATTATTAATATGTTTGGGCCAACCCCAAATAAATTAACAGAAGGTTTGGTGGAGAGATAAGGTTTTAGTTGAAGGGCAAATATGACTTTTAACTAAAACTTTTTTACTAAATAAGGAAACATGAACTTTATTTGTGGACGCACGAAAAAGGAAAGTACAAACATTAAAAATGGATGGAGGGAGTGTATATATATATATATATATATATATATATACATGTTGGTTCAGATAAGAATATGATCTATTGAAAGAAATAAGAATGAATATCTGATCAACTAACTCTGTTGGACACTTGGACTCACTTACGAATCTTGAAAGGGTAAATAAGTATTTTTTGATGAAATTCATTTCTCTCTCCGTATGACCTAAAATCATTGCAGAAGAACAAAACCGATCCAGTTCTTCTTCCCGCTTTCTCTTATAATTTTACCCAGCCTATTTCCAGTTTTTTTTCTAGGTACCCAGGGTCTAATTTTTCAATTTTTTTATAAAATTTCCTCATAGACGATGTCTAATTGAATTCTCGGGTCGATTTCTTCCTCTGCGTATTCCTATGTGTGCAATCAATGAATCACATTTGCCCATTTTTCATTTGGATTCATATTAGATGTATGTGCTTTGAATATATATTTTTTCTAATTTCCTTATTTCTGGTCCCAAGCGGCAAGTCATTCGGCTCGATTTAGCTGCGAAAAGTATGGATATAGTCTATTGCAAGTAGATGGTGCAATGAAAGAGGTTCACTTCTGCAAAGCTTGATGATGGGTTTAAACTAATTTTGGAGTTGGATTTCTTTACAACAGTGGGATTATTATAATGCATTGTTTGTATGAACGCATTGATTGTATGAATCAATTCTTTATATGAACTGAATTTCCTACTCTGATTCTCTACTTTGTAAAATTCAGAGAACGCAATTTTAGTGCATTATATAAAATATGCAGTGCATTATAAAGATTTTGTAGTGCATATTATGTAGAATAGAATCTAGACTAATTTATCAAGACGGCCTTACATGGGGAGTGATGCAAAATTAAAAAGACTAAAATGCATTTCTGCTAGGTTAAAGTGCAAGTTGAGAGTCCTTTTGTTTGTGCATCCTTTAGGATAATGTATTTCAACCAATTCAACCCAATGCGTAGTCTTACAAAATTGCATGTGTGTCCTGTCAATAATGATGTTCTAAGTTTATTTTGCACCTTTGAGTGCGTGGATTGTTGGTTATGTCTCATAACCAAGGTGAAGGATAATGCTTTTTGTTATTGTGCATTTTCTTAATTAAAAGAAAGGAAAATGCTCGAGTCACAAACTTAAAATTCACAAACTTTACAAACTTGCCTTTTCTAAAATTGAAATTAAAATGTTTTTTAATATTTAAGTGCATCTTATTTCTAGGAAAGTGCTAAAAAGGCAAGTTTGTGAATTTTGTGAACTGTTTGTGTGTGACTCTAGCATTACTCTAAAAGAAATTTCATTTATCATTTAGTGAAATTCTCTTGACTAAAATTTGATACATATGTATATTCCAGATAGTGAAATATTTGCAAACAATGATGCATTAAAAATGTTGGTGATAGATTTGAATATGGGTTAGAAACACGTTGAATGATGCCAATTTTAAAAAGTCAAAATGCATATTCAATAGTTCTAAGTGCACGATGAGAATCTCTTTGAAAAATAAATTGATGCCTTATAACTTAAATTGTAGAGAAATATGTACAAAGATTGTGGGTTCGAATCCCACAGGTAAATTCTTTCTCAAATTTGTATTTCACTTGTTATGAATACAACGCATTCTCATTTCTTTTTCATCACATTCAAAGTCATTCGGAAATCATTATTCACTAATTCATAAATTAATAGAATAAATATTAAATAAATTTTAATAGATAAATCACAATGAATATTTTGGTCATCACACTACATTTATAGGTCATCCCAATGCACTCACATTAGGAATCATGTCTCCCCCAAAATTCTCAATAAAAAACAACCACATAATTAGTGGTGTTACTTACATCACTATACCCTCTATGCTAAACGAAGTATCTTATCTCTTAATGACATGGTTAGTGTTTTATTTTGTGCTATGAAGTTACTAAAATGCAGTTGTTGTTTCATCTTTGTGTTCTGCCTCTTGATCTCATTCTCTGCACACTGATCTTTTCCACCCTCATGGCCTTATAATACTTCACCACCTTCGTCACCTTCTTCTCCATCAATTTCTGTATGTGTTCGATGCTTGTTCTTCTGCTTCTTATGAAACATGCTTCTTGTGGATGGAATATCAATCACAGTTTTCTTACAACACTTTACCATTGCTAATTGAACTCCACCCTTGAAAACCCCTGCATCCATCCAATAGATGCCATTTATTCATATTCTTCTAACAGGCCATCTTCGATTCTGATCTACACATGAATGCAACCCAGATTATCAATTTGTTTGCATAAGTGGTCTAAGAAATCTAATTATAAAAACACAACTATTTGGCATGAATGGAAACTAATACATACAAGGACGCAAAAACTATTACTCCCTCCGTCCCGCTATATTCGTCCACTTTTGACTTTTGGAACTGTTCATCTAAGTACTTTGACTCATCAAATTTTTTCAATGTGTAAGCCTAAATATAGTCATGTGTGATCTTGTTTGATTTGTCTTAACATATATATTATTAATATATAATTTCTATAATTTTTTAATATACAAATTACAAGATAAAATGGATTAAAGAAGTGTATTGGATGGTGTGCAAAAATGAAAGTGGACAAATACTCTGGGACGGAGGTAGTATTAATCGTTTACAGAAGTTACCAAAATTGATTCACACTTTTCTTCATCTTTTTTTACACTATGTTTGGTTCAAGGAATTTGAAAGGAAAAGAAAAAAATGAATTTCTCTCATTTTCCACACCAAACTGGAAGGAATTTAGTTTCCCCTCTACTTAATACATTTTGCCTTATATTTTTTTTCCACTTTTCCTTTCTTTTTCCTATCTAACCAAACAAGAAAAACTGTTTTCCAACTTCACTTTCTTTTCTTTTCCCTTTAAGATTCCTTAAACCAAACATAGTATTAATCAATCTATGATGTATTCAGCCCACTACGAAAATGGAATATAACTACTAAATGAATTACGGGTTTAAACCCCTACACTAGATTTGAGTACCCCTTAGTTTCTTTAAATAAAGTCCATGCAGTGCATTTGCATAGCACTTAAACTAAACCCGTGCAATGAAACCCAAGGTATCCAAGATGGAGATAATAAAATTTTTGGTATAATTTTTTCAAAAATCAAATTGTAAATACACAAATGTTTATCATGAATGTAAATGAAATCATATAACGATGCAATCAAATAATCTTAAGTTTACAGAAATTACCACAATAGATTCAAATCCCCGTTCATCAATTTCAATCAATCTACGATGCATTCAGTTAACGAGGCAATGCATTGGAGTAGCCCTAAAAAGCATCGTTAGTGATTTTAGATGCCAAACACAAAATTAATCTTCGTAAATTCATCCACTACATGACTGAAACCCCCAATGACACCCTAAAGCACAAACCCTAATTACATCCATTCTTCTAAATTGAACTTTAATCAGGTTTTTCTTAGGCTTGAATATCAATTCTTACAATTCATATGCATGCAAAAGGATTTTCATGACAAAAATTATTAAATCTAACATTGGAATGCACCTGTTGGCGGTCTGCTCCAGATGTAATCATCCATGTCCTTGTTGTCAATTGCCCATCCCTCGACATTTTCTTGGACAACGTAGCTTTCTTCGACTGCACCAAAGCTAGCGAAGATCAACTTGGTAATAGCGCAATACATGAAGAACGGGGCGAGGTTGAAATAATTAGGATTTCATTCCCACTTCCAATAGACATATATTACCCTGACAGCAAGATTAGACCCTATTTTAATGCACCTTAATGATTTCTTTCTTTTTTTAAAATTCCATCGGTCAAATGCATTATTAGTTTACGAACCATCACATGCATCGGATCTAAGGGCTGCCAATCATTCTTATATCTTTCACATAACTTCATTCTCACCTGATCCTCCTCATATAGGGGCCGGTTCCTATGAGAATGACTCTTGATGAAAGAAATGAGAACAAATGATATGCATTGATCGATATTGTAGATCTAAGGGTCTAAAATTGATCTAAAAAGTGACGCCATTTATTGATTAATATGGTAAACAGCATCAATTTATGAATGGAATAATGGCTAAGGGGCATTATTGTACTCATTGGTAAAGGACGTGCAGTAGAGTTCCACTTTTTTAGCCGTAATTATTGGAGGAGTTATCATAGGAGTATCCATCCATCATTCTTTGTATTTCTTTACACGTTTCTATTTTTAATTTATAAAAATTAATTTATTGTAGCCGTAATTATTGTAGAGTTCCACGTTTCTATTTTTAATTTATAAAAATTAATTCGGAATAATCTTTACTATTGAACTCTTTGTAATATTTCTTTCGTTTTTGCTTTATTTAATGCATTACCCACAGTGCAAGAGATTTATTAATTTACATTTATTTTTTTTCAAATTAAGTAATAGGTGGTCTATAATATTTTCATTTTTTATATTTAACATTCTAGTTTTTTAAAATTTTCATCACATTCTTTAAAATTGATATCAATAAGTTTTTTTCTCACGTGATAATTTTATTATCTGTATGCACCATTCTCAAATACAAATGCAATGCATATTATATATTATGCATGTATTGTTGATTTATCCTTGTGGATAAGTGAATATTTACTCGTGAGTGACTTTGTATGTGTTGAAAAAGCTTGAGAATGCATTGTACTTTGTATTTTTAACAAACGTAATATAGATTTGGGAAAATAGTTTGCCTATGCGGGATTCGAACCCACATTCATAGTATATACCGCTCTACCATTTGAGCTAATAGGCAACAATTTATTTTTTCAAAGAGACTATAATCTTCTCTCGAGAATTATTAAAAATATAGATTAATGTTTTAAAATATACATCATTCAACGTTTTTCTAACATATATTCAAATTTGACCTAGAACACTTTTATGCATCATAATTTTTTTAAAAATTGCTATGCAGAAATACAAGTGCATCTTGGTTCAAGAGAATTCTAATATCAGATGCATCAAATTTGATTATTAAAATGTACAAGAACATAATGCATTTCATTTACCTTAATTATGAGAATGTAATGCCTCGTCATGAAAATGCATTACCGTAGTTTTGTAGATGCAAAGTATCATACAAAAGCAAACAAAAAGTGAAAATAATGGAAGAAAATGAATGCAGAAATGTACACGGCTAATATTGCCAGGGCCAAAAAAGTTTTAACAAAATAACATAAAAAGTAAAAAAAAGGACTAGAAAATAAAAGCAGCAACGCACACCCCCAACAAGATGTGGCACCATAGCAGTAATCAGGGGGTGATGCAACAATTTAATGTATGTGTATGAGCATGTCGATTTCTATAGCATTGCCTTGATATGTTTGAATATGGAATTTCACCGATTTATGAAGTGCATAATATGTGAATATAACAGTATTTGTTATGATCAGTTAAATTACAGAATTGGAACAATAATATAATGAGCAACATCAACAAATAATAACATGAGACATTACTCATTGATCACCTAATCCCCTTTTCAACAAAAAACTATTATATGCATTGATAAAAGCACACAATCACACTGCAATACACAATTGAGAGCTAAATAATTCAATATACATACTCCCTCGTCCACAAATAAACTTTACGTTCACTATTTCTCCAATCTCTCTCTCCCTTAATCCCTTATCTTTTCACCCAACCACATCCGTTCTTTTCTTCACTTCTTTCTTTTCTTCTTTTCTTCACTTCTCCGTTCTTATTCATCTTCTTTCTTTTCTCTAGTCTTCTTCTTCTTCCTTTTCTCTTTTCTCTTCTTCTTTCTTTTCTTTTTCCTCCCCCTTCTGATTTTGTCCCGTCACCCAATATTAGGAGCACCGGAAAACCGAGGCGGTGGTCGGAGGTGTGTGGTGGTCAGATCCGGACAGATCTAATGTAGTATCATCTCCATCACTACCACATCCAACCTCGTTAGTCACCACCAAACCCAGCCGGCTCAGATTTGTGTCGCCAACAACCATCTCTTACAAAACCAGATTCAAAATCAAGGTCTAGACGGACATAAAGACTAACTCTGTGGACTTTGAAGTCAGTTTGTGGCCGGAGTAAGAGTCCGTCGCCGCCGTGAACTCCGTCTTCACCGGTAGTTTGGATTCTGTGTTGAAGAATTGTATATTTCCAATGATTATTACAAAATATTTACCTCCCCTTATATACATGTAGGAGGGTGTAGTATAAGGAAATTACATTAAATGGAATCCTATACAATTATGGAATCTACCATATATATAATAATCATATTAAATATATATGGAATATTATCTTAACATATTTTACATGCTACCAACTACGTCGGTGATTTCCGAACACCAAGGTTGTGTTGAAAATCAGTGAAGAGTAGTGAGGGGAGTCCTTTGGTGAAGATGTCTGCGAACTGGGACGATGATGGCACATGGAGAACTCGAACTTGCCCTAATGCAACTTTGTCTCTAACAAAGTGAATATCTACTTCAACATGCTTAGTTCGTTGATGTTGTACCGGGTTCGAGGACAAGTAGACGGCACTGACATTGTCGCAGAACACAATAGTGGTGCGGTGTAGTGGCTGATGGAGTTCAAGCAGAAGATTTCGTATCCAGCTGGTTTCAGCAACCGCATTAGCAACAGCCCTATACTCTGCCTCAGCACTAGATCGGGAAGTAGTGGCTTGCCGCTTAGAAGACCATGAGATCAAGTTTTCCCCTAAGAACACACAATAACCTGAAGTAGAGCGTCGCATATCCGGGCACCCCGCCCAGTCTGCATCAGAGTAAGCCTGTAGAAAATTCGATGGAGAGCGAGAAAGAGTGATCCCATGAGTGACTGTGCCTTGAAGATAGCGAAGGACCCGTTTTAGGGCCGTAAGGTGTGTCGTGCGTGGGGAGTGAAGATAGAGACATAGCTGCTGAACGGCATAAGTGAGATCTGGTCGAGTGAATGTAAGATACTGAAGTGCACCAACGAGGGAACAATAGAGAGAGTCATCGGCGGTGGGTTCTCTAGAGGTGGCTGATAACTTCCCTTTAGAGTCAACCGGTGTAGAAATGGGCTTACAGTGTAGCATACCTGCCCTGTCGAGGATTTCCTGAGCAAACTGCATCTAGTGCAAGAAAAGATTGCCGTCTTTGGTACGTTGAACAATAATGCCAAGAAAGAAATTTAGTTCCCCCATATCAGTCATGGCAAACTCCCCCTTTAGACGTTTCGTGATCCGGGATAAAAGTGTAGTGGTCGAAGCTGTAAGAACAATATCATCCACATATAAGAGTAAGTATGCCATGTGGGACCCATGCATGTAGACAAAGAGAGAAGTGTCTGTTTTGCAGCTTTGGAACCCAATGTGCCGGAGAAAACCAGTGAATCGTAAATACCAAGAGCGGGGTGCCTGTTTCAAACCATATAGTGCCTTCTTGAGTTTGCAAACGTGGTATGGTCGTGAGGGATCCTCGAAACCAGAAGGCTGCCAGGCATAAACAGTTTCCTGCAGGTGGCCATGGAGGAAAGCAATCTTGACATCCAGCTGGTGTATGGGCCAGCCCTTAGAGAGGGCGAGACTGAGGACAATACGGATGGTGGCCGGTTTGATGACCGGGCTGAACATTTCGCTGTAGTCGACGCTGAAAAGTTGGTTGAAGCCTCGAACAACCCAACGAGCTTTGTACCTGGACAGATCACCTGTGGGGCCAAATTTATGTCGAAAAAGCCATTTGCCAGATATAACATTTTGGGTGGGGGAGGGGGGTACTAATTCCCATGTGTTATTCTTGATCAAGGCATTAAATTCATGACACATTGCATCATGCCAGTTGGGATCTTTTAGCGCGCTACGGTAGGTGGGAGGAAGTTGGGAGATTGATGCTGTTGTGTTAAGGTTGATGATGGATTTCAGACGGGAGATTCCAGCCTTGGCACGAGTGGTCATGGGGTGGGTGTTTGTGG